GTTTTTACTCTCATAAGAGGTTTTCCGTTAATAATAGGTTTTATATCAGCGATTGAGGTTTCATTAGGACATCCCATTAGCATATAGTTTGACTTATTGTGGTTCAGAACGAGTCGATTGATTTTAAACTAATTCTGTATTATATTTAAATCTGAATCCACTTTATTTTGTAACTCTTTAATTGTATTTTTATCGCAAATTCCAGACATAATTAAAGAAACTATTGTTTTAATGTTTAAAACACTTGTTATTGTCCCCAAAAAATGATTTCACAATTTGCATAACTATTTAATATTCACATTAAAAGTAATATTAAATATATTTACTAATTTAACCAAGGATCAAATTAATATTTAAATTGTTTTGGCAAATATCTCTGGGAAGACGTTACATTGTCCTGAGACTCCGAGAATATAACGGGTTTTTTGAGGGAATAATATTGTGTACAATAGAGAAAAGTATTCAAAGCCTACATAAATTATTCATAACTAAAACCCTAGATCGTTTTATATAGATTGTATCAAGCACACATATACTCTAATGATTTACTTTGAATAGTGTTCACCGACACTCCATAGCCCTAAATCTGGTCCCTCGAGATGACAGGCCTCAGGGCTTAATAGAAACATATCGGTGTAGTTGTGGTGTATTTCCGTCGGCAATCCGTCCGGATATCCACCGCAATAGTGATATGCAATGTCTGACACGTATTTCGCGGCCTCCCTGTCCGCTAGTATAGGCGGTATGGGCTTCTGGATAAACACAGAGGTAGTCGTCGAATACCATTAGATTGAGTTTGTCTTTCCCATACCCGACCTTCGCAAGGGTTGGCCCTAAATTGAGTTTCACAAAATCCCGTCCCATAGGGCCGGTTAGGTTCAGACAGTTGGAGTCCCTCGTGTTGACTCATTCTCGACGGTCACTCCCAATAGGTTTATGTCATGCGATTTGTATGCGTCTAGAAATCTGCGGTTAACTCAAGGGATAAGTGGTTTCATGTGTTTAAAGCATATATGAAATGGAAATTACTTCACGAAATAGTTGGCCCCGACTGGTAGTACTCCCCGCCAACAGTGCCCCTCAATTCCCCGCCATTATTGAACTTGTGGTTAGTCTTCATACCGGTGCTCTAGACCCGGGCCTTGGGATTGGAATACGTGGCGTATTTATTGTTGATCTCACGGCACAGACAACAGGCAGATATGACGATCAGGATCTCCACCACAGCCACGCCGATGGCTATATAGCCTACAAAACATAGCGTACAATAAATATGAAATGACATCTCATTCATACAAATCACACGATTTTCACTCATTTTACACGTATTTATGACTAGAAATGTATGATTTATTATAATATTATGATATGAGTCTCACCTAAACTTCCGAGATATAGCTTCATGTAGTCGATTAGGGCTTTAGTGCAGCCCTTATCCTGATATTAATTGCGTAAAAAAAGTTTTGTAAACTAATTATAACTGTCAATAAAATGTAAATCAAACAAATTATACCCAGGTATTGCTTTTGATGCACCTGCCATCCACTTTACTAACATTATCCTTGCAACATGACCCCGGGAATAGACCTAAAACACACAACACATACATTTAAATGAATACCAAATATGAACTAGCTAACTAATATGACTGACCCTCTGGTTTGCCATAAACCCCGTTCCAGTCGTATCTGTCTTTGCCTCCACAGCACTGCAACTGCTTCTGGAACTCATTGATGGCTCGATTGGTGGCCTCATCGTCGGCTAACTCCCATTTGTAGGCATCCAGTGCTGACTTAATGCCTTTGTTCACTTATTGCTCCAACTATTTCAACGAGATACTTTCAATCAGAGTCATGTAATAGCATGTATATTACAAATAACAAACATCGTGGTTGTATTTGATGGCCATATAAGCGCCGACACCCTGGGCTGCCAGACATAGGAATACGAGTCCGCCGTACTGTCCATTGGTGTGTAAATTAATGGTATGAATGATATATTGTAGTGATATATGAATATCAAGAATATTGTGGAATACATACGGTGTTAAGCATACAATAGCTCTCACGGATAGCACCACAACAGACTAAAAAGCTGACCACTAGTACGAGCCCTCCCGCCACTAATAGCACTATCGCTGAATACCTAGTGATTACAATTTTTACCAAGTTTATAATTAATTTTTGTAGATTAACACTTTTATGAAAAACAAAAAATTGTTTTTGTATGAAAATAGTGTATTTAATTAGATAAGCTATGTTTAATACCATTAATACTTATTAAATGTGTTTTTTGGTAAACAATTTTTTGTTTTAAATTACGGTATATATTGTGTATTAAAAAATGGGTACAAACCCCGGGGTCTCTTTCACCACATCAGTCACATCGGGTGTGTATTTTAGGATAACCCGAACGCCCAGGTATATGATGGCCGCCCCACATAGCTATCGTAATTATTGTTATTAAAATTAATTATCTAAATAATTTATATGTGTTTTGTTTAATGCAATGTATGCCATACTGTACAGTACTGTACGCTACTGTACACTAGTATTGTATAAATCACTCTCACATATCAGTTGCTAAACAACAATCTGTTGGTTATATTGCTATTACTGTTAACACAATTGATGTTTTCATATATAAAATATATACACAAACATTTTTATAGTGAGTCGAGGAAAATATTGTATATATACTTGTTTTTGTCGCTATCATTGCCAATAACTTAGGAATTAATTAATTAATAATATATTATATTGTTTTCAGATTTCATATACAATTAGCAATCGTACACTGTGTGTAAGAAGTTTTTTATGTGTTTAATAATGTATTGTTTGGCACTTTAGTATTGATTATCATTTTTTGAAGGGTTTGTCAAACATTATAGCAATTAATCAGTTGATTATCATAAGTACTGTATAAGTGAGGGTCAGACACCGGAATATACAGTATGAGCACCCGGATTATATTTAGTGTTAAGAAACTTATTAATAATGATACTATGATAATAAAGTTACTATTAATAAAGTAGTATTTGATTTTAGACTAGTTTATGAAAAAATAGTTTTTCATTTAAAACCGGAAAAAATTAATACTAAATACAGTATAACTATTTTATGCGACAATAGGGTTATCCGAGTCCTTCATAATAAACATTATTATTATTATTATTCAAAATATTAATTAGTTTTCAATTCCTAACCATAAGGTCATTGAAAATCAATGTTTAGTTATTGAATAAAAATTAATAATTTTATTGTAATACAGGCTAAATAAATGCAAAACTATTTCTAACTACTGTAGTCCTAACCACTGTTAGGTTTATATAAATAGATAAAAATATGTATTTATAAATTCATTTAATAAACAGTTAAATGTTAATCAAAGTGAATATTTTCCATTTTTGTATTCATGGTAAATTATGTCTTATAAAATAAAGTTTCCATATCAATGCTATTAATACTGTATTTCATACCGTATTCCCGCACATCCACCGGCATGCCGTTATAAATGAGGCTGATCATTTTTACAAAAATGGCTTTATGATACCCTACCGGCATGCCGTTGTAAAGTGAGGCAAAATAAATTGAGTTCAACAATTATTTCTATTGAAAAAAATTAATAATAATAAATTTAGCTTATCAAAATAACTAATAACTGTTTAGTAAGTTATTTCTTTCACATTTTCACAAATTCACAAAAATGTGTTTAATAATTGTGTATTTTATAGTATAAAACTATTTAAAACAATGAATAGAAAGCATTTAAAATGAATAAACATTTTACTTTCTTAGTCTAATGACCACCTTTTCAGATATTAATAAGATAATATTCACTTATAATTCAATGTATATAATTTAATATACTAATTTGTGAATATTAGTTTATTGAAATTTAAATTTCAAAACATGTTTTAGACCTTACTTATAACAGCATGCCGGTATACCCCGGGGTATAACGGCAGTCTCATCAACCTCACTTTATATCGGCATGCCGGTGGATGTGCGGGAATACGGTAGAAATCAATGAATATTATTATTTCAGTACATGCTACCTTCTGTGCAAATAATATCACTGAAAGAATATTTAAATTGTTCCAATTAATAAAGAAATGGTAGCGTTTTTAAAGTTTTGATTTATGTACAATTTTTGCCAAAATTTTCAAAATTGTAAAAATTCAAAACGCTGCCATTTCTTTATTAATTGGAATAATTAAAAAATTCTTTCAGTGATCTTATTTGCACAAAAGGTAGAATGTGTTGACATAATTATATCCATTGATTTCTAATTTTTATATCATTAACATGGGAAATCGTATCTTACATTTTGTATCGCATAGCCATTATTAGCAATTAGATTTTTAGCTCATATGGCTTAAACAAAAGCTCTACTATTGAGCTTTAAAACTCACATTACAAATTTGACCCAAGACCTCTAACCTGACTTGTACCTATGACCTTTGCGTTCATTCCGTTATTTCAATTACTGTACATTTTGATAAAATTAAATTTTAACTGTAAAAGTTCTGCATTAAATAAATGATAATACTTTTTACCGTTTCAGTTTAGGACTTGTAGTTAGCAAGCTATTCAAGTTTCCCCCAAACCGTTTTTTTTGTGTATGCCCTTATATAGCGTTAAAGTAAATGAGTTACTGTATATTAATATAAGTAAATAATAAAATCACAAATAATTTATTTTAAAATTTCAGTTTTAGTAAATTCAGAAAATGATTGCTAATTAATCAATTACAGTATTTTTCTTATTAACAATTAACAATTTTCTATATATACCCATCAAAATATCCAGTTAAAAGATACTGCTGTTACATGACAATTAATTTTTCTACAAATTGTAATTAAAATATTACCTAGCTAATTCACATAAACCAAATATATTTATAAATCATATTACGTATATAACTATTAAAAGTGGATACACGTTATATTTTTATAAAATTAAATGTTTTATGTGATGATAATTTTCAAGTACGAAAACTACTATTCTTGATAAAATAGGTCAAATTTAGGGATTTATGGGATCTAGGTCGGCCTCTAGTGGTTGTCTAATGAAGTTAATTAATGAAAATTTAATTGTCAAAATCCAGGACTTGATTTCTAATTACATGAAGTAGATTAAATTTTCATATTAAAAATTTTCCATTAAAATTAGCTTATCAAAATTGTACATCAAGATAGTATACGTAACAATTAAAACTATGTAAATATTTTAAGATTTTAATTGCAATTTAATATGGTAATAATTAAATTCTTGTATGACATTAAAAAATCATAATTTCATTATATATTTTAGCATAAAAGCCAACAAGCTTTTATAATTTTTATTCAAATAACTTTTTATTATAAACCCCATTAAATAAATACATTTCTAATATTTACTTCATATATTTTTGCACACAAAAACATTTTTGTTCACATGATTTATAAATATAATAAAATAAAAAACCTCAAAAAATATCATTAAAAATCAAACAAAATGTTTCCCAAAAAACATAA